AATGTTTCACTGGGGGAAGGCCTGTATCTGAACCCAACTACATCCAACCCTTACAGACAGTTACCTACCTTTCAAAAGAGTGCAGCAAATCAGGCTCAGGTGCATGTGGGTGACTTTCTGACTCAGCATGCATGGGTGGTAGGGGATTCTATTTGGGCTTGAGTGCCAACAAGAATGTACCAACAAGAATGCACTCTCGGCAATTTGGGTGTGTGTCTAGAAATACGTCCGGGTATCCAAGTTTCAGAGCCTGCATGGAAACACCCTGCGGTCTGAACACGCATGTCGTCTTCATGGAGCCCTGACCTCCTGTCTTCCCACGAAATGGGGGAGGACACCTGGCATCTTCCTTCGGCCCCATGCAAAATTTCACTGAGGGGCTGTCGACATCGGCTCTAGGCTCCCAGTCTCCATGACCCATGATCTCTGACCAAAGCAGAGACCTGACCGCCCAAGGTCACCTTGCAGAGCATCTGTGTGAATGCCACGTACCCTGAGACTGTAGCTACTACTACAGTTAAGGGGTCCTTGTCACAAGGACCACCTCTACCCTAACCAGAAAATGTTCCCAGAGAACTGCACAGTAAGGTGAACTTGGCACTAGGGCAGATACGGCTCACCGCACCCTCGAATAGGAAAAGAATTCAAGGCATGCGTCTCTTCCTGCCAGTCAGTCCAATCATTGGGCGGCCTCTGACAGAAAGTGAGGATGGGACCTGGACTGCCTCAGGTACCAGGATCCAAGGGCCACTCCCACAGAAACGGGACCCCTGTCCTGGCCAGATCATCCTCAGATCCACACCCTGTAGGGACCGGGCTACTGACGACACCCTAGAGAAAGCTCCCATAATGCAGGCCGTGGTCCAGATTGAACTCCTCCTGCCGCAAGGGTTACTCACCCAAATCTGAAGCCTCCAAGGCCTCAGCACACTCAGGCACAATCAGCAAGCAGGAAGATCCAGAGGATGAAGGTGGGCAGACTGACCCAGTGCACACAGATCACTAAGGACGCTTTAATGAAGACATCAGAACACCTGCCAGGGGAAGACCTTGGATGCCACAGGTCTCTGCCACAGTGCCATGGGAGCTGCTGGCTCTGATAACAAGGCAGCGTGGGTATGCCAGCCAATGACCAATCTCTACCAGAACCACGGGCCTCCACGTTTGATGCTTCATTGCGAGGGGGGACGAACACATTGGTGCTATCAGGGCCGGCTGACTGGCCCCAACCTTAGGGAACAAAGCTAATTCCAGGCCCACGCTCAAATGGAGGCCAAGAGGCATGTGCGCACACCACATAACAACCCACAGGCCTGGCTGCTTGGCCTCTGTTACTGCAACTCTTCAAGGCACCAAAGATACCCTTGGACAGTCCTTCTACTGGCAGCAGGCCACCAAGGACACAAAGGTCACCTATCACCGAGCCTCCCAAGCACCAGCAATGCCCTCTCCTCTCTACCCAGCTGAGGGCAGCTTCCAAAGGACCACAGTATGTATCAGTGAAAACAGAACGACAGTGCCTGCAGCCTCGGCAGACATGACATCCCAGGAAATCACACTGCACTTTTCCTCACCTGCACAACCATTCTTCTCTGGGCCTCTGGCCAACCTACAGGAGAAATGCAGGCCTGTGACCACAACACAGTCCATGGCGACATCCAAGACTCAAGCATGGGACAGGAGTTGCAATTCGGGAACTACCAGGGCAGAAATGAGGCCTATTAACTTTCACAACTTCCACCGTTCCCCTAGGTCTCTGCAGCCGCTGCAGCCCACAGGGTACTCAGCAACCTCACCAACCCAAAGGGCCGCAATGGCGAGGGCCTCAGATCTGACCTGCGGGTCCAATCAGAGACCACAGAAGCTTCCTTGTGTCACAATCGACATCACGAGACCCCCAGTTACCACACTTTCAGCAGGAACCAGGACAAAATGCACCGTTCTGAGCGAAGAGCTCACTGTCCAATGCCAGGATCTACTTCGACACCCACCACCACTGGACAAGCCGGATGCCTCTTCTGCTCCTCAGTGCCCTTCACCATGGACCTCGCGTTCCAAGAGCTGCTCGAACATCTGTACACGGCCCACCCTCAGATGGGAGCCTTCCAAGTGGTGTTGACATGGCTCCTCCATGCATGTGTGTCACACAGTCAGAGAAGCCCTCTTGCTAAACAGTCCCACCCTTAACCCAAAGGGAGGCAACGTGCTGGACCTCAGTTTCGATGAGGAGACGGTAGTGAGTTCTCACTCATTTTGTTCAGATTTTCCAAGGAATGCATGAGAGGGTGTCGTCATCGATCCGAGCACGAGCTGGCTCGCTCCCCACCTTCACAGGGCAGGCAGTGCCGCTCTCAGGAAGAGCCAGTGACCTGGGAGTCCTCCAGCAGCCGGGGAACTCAGAGCCCCCAGGCTTGTCAACAAGAGGAATGGTCCCTCCGCGCGGACAGCCACTCAGGCAGCAGCGCCAGGAAGCCTGAAATTCACGACACGTCTTGGGGCAGGAGAAGACGTACCGTGCTCGGTGATCCAAAAAGAACTGGCAGCAACCTGGGGCACCACACTTCTTGCCGGACTGCCTTGCACCTCGAGCCCCTGCCTCATGGGCGGGGCTTCGTATCCTGGGTGATGGACAGCCATACCTGCAACTTCACCTGACAAGGGGACAGAAAGCACAGGAACACTTGAGATGTGCGCTTGGTCTCTCACTGAATAACACCGAGGAAAATGTTTCACTGGGGGAAGGCCTGTATCTGAACCCAACTACATCCAACGCTTACAGACAGTTACCTACCTTTCAAAAGAGTGCAGCAAATCAGGCTCAGGTGCATGTGGGTGACTTTCTGACTCAGCATGCATGTGTGGTAGGGGATTCTATTTGGGCTTGAGTGCCAACAAGAATGTACCAACAAGAATGCACTCTCGGCAATTTGGGTGTGTGTCTAGAAATACGTCCGGGTATCCAAGTTTCAGAGCCTGCATGGAAACACCCTGCGGTCTGAACACGCATGTCGTCTTCATGGAGCCCTGACCTCCTGTCTTCCCACGAAATGGGGGAGGACACCTGGCATCTTCCTTCGGCCCCATGCAAAATTTCACTGAGGGGCTGTCGACATCGGCTCTAGGCTCCCAGTCTCCATGACCCATGATCTCTGACCAAAGCAGAGACCTGACCGCCCAAGGTCACCTTGCAGAGCATCTGTGTGAATGCCACGTACCCTGAGACTGTAGCTACTACTACAGCTAAGGGGTCCTTGTCACAAGGACCACCTCCACCCTAACCAGAAAATGTTCCCAGAGAACTGCACAGTAAGGTGAACTTGGCACTAGGGCAGATACGGCTCACCGCACCCTCGAATAGGAAAAGAATTCAAGGCATGCGTCTCTTCCTGCCAGTCAGTCCAATCATTGGGCGGCCTCTGACAGAAAGTGAGGATGGGACCTGGACTGCCTCAGGTACCAGGATCCAAGGGTCACTCCCACAGAAACGGGACCCCTGTCCTGGCCAGATCATCCTCAGATCCACACCCTGTAGGGACCGGGCTACTGACGACACCCTAGAGAAAGCTCCCATAATGCAGGCCGTGGTCCAGATTGAACTCCTCCTGCCGCAAGGGTTACTCACCCAAATCTGAAGCCTCCAAGGCCTCAGCACACTCAGGCACAATCAGCAAGCAGGAAGATCCAGAGGATGAAGGTGGGCAGACTGACCCAGTGCACACAGATCACTAAGGACGCTTTAATGAAGACATCAGAACACCTGCCAGGGGAAGACCTTGGATGCCACAGGTCTCTGCCACAGTGCCATGGGAGCTGCTGGCTCCGATAACAAGGCAGCGTGGGTATGCCAGCCAATGACCAATCTCTACCAGAACCACGGGCCTCCACGTTTGATGCTTCATTGCGAGGGGGGACGAACACATTGGTGCTATCAGGGCCGGCTGACTGGCCCCAACCTTAGGGAACAAAGCTAATTCCAGGCCCACGCTCAAATGGAGGCCAAGAGGCATGTGCGCACACCACATAACAACCCACAGGCCTGGCTGCTTGGCCTCTGTTACTGCAACTCTTCAAGGCACCAAAGATACCCTTGGACAGTCCTTCTACTGGCAGCAGGCCACCAAGGACACAAAGGTCACCTATCAGTGAACCTCCCAAGCACCAGCAATGCCCTCTCGTCTGTACCCAGCTGAGGGCAGCTTCCAAAGGACCACAGTATGTATCAGTGAAAACAGAACGACAGTGCCTGCAGCCTCGGCAGACATGACATCCCAGGAAATCACACTGCACTTTTCCTCACCTGCACAACCATTCTTCTCTGGGCCTCTGGCCAACCTACAGGAGAAATGCAGGCCTGTGGCCACAACACAGTCGATGGCGACATCCAAGACTCAAGCATGGGACAGGAGTTGCAATTCAGGAACTACCAAGGGTAGAAATGAGGCCTATTAACGTTCACAACTTCCACCGTTCCCCTAGGTCTCTGCAGCCGCTGCAACCCACAGGGTACTCAGCAATCTCACCAAACCAAAGGGCCGCAATGGCGAGGGCCTCAGATCTGACCTGGGCGCCAGTCAGAGACAACAGAAGCTTCCTTGTGTCACAATCGACATCACGAGACCCCCAATTAGCACACTTTCAGCAGGAACCAGGACAAAATGCACCGTTCTGAGCGAAGAGCTCACTGTCCAATGCCAGGATCTACTTCGACACCCACCACCACTGGACAAGCCGGATGCCTCTTCTGCTCCTCAGTGCCCTTCACCATGGACCTCGCGTTCCAAGAGCTGCTCGAACATCTGTACACGGCCCACCCTCAGATGGGAGCCTTCCAAGTGGTGTTGACATGGCTCCTCCATGCATGTGTGTCACACAGTCAGAGAAGCCCTCTTGCTAAACAGTCCCACCCTTAACCCAAAGGGAGGCAACGTGCTGGACCTCAGTTTCGATGAGGAGACGGTAGTGAGTTCTCACTCATTTTGTTCAGATTTTCCAAGGAATGCATGAGAGGGTGTCGTCATCGATCCGAGCACGAGCTGGCTCACTCCCCACCTTCACAGGGCAGGCAGTGCCACTCTCAGGAGGAACCAGTGACCTGGGAGTCCTCCAGCAGCCGGGGAACTCAGAGCCCCCAGGCTTGTCAACAAGAGGAATGGTCCCTCCACACGGACAGCCACTCAGGCAACAGCGCCAGGAAGCCTGAAATTCACGACACGTCCTGGGGCAGGAGAAGATGTACCGTGCTCGGTGATACAAAAAGAACTGGCAGCAACCTGGGGCACCACACTTCTTGCCGGACAGCCTTGCACCTCGAGACCCTGCCTCATGGGCGGGGCTTCGTATCCTGGGTGATGGATAGCCATACCTGGCAACTTCACCTGACAAGGGGACAGAAAGCACAGGAACACTTGAGATGTGCGCTTGGTCTCTCACTGAATAACACCGAGGAAAATGTTTCACTGGGGGAAGGCCTGTATCTGAACCCAACTACATCCAACCCTTACAGACAGTTACCTACCTTTCAAAAGAGTGCAGCAAATCAGGCTCAGGTGCATGTGGGTGACTTTCTGACTCAGCATGCATGGCTGGTAGGGGATTCTATTTGGGCTTGAGTGCCAACAAGAATGTACCAACAAGAATGCACTCTCGGCAATTTGGGTGTGTGTCTAGAAATACGTCCGGGTATCCAAGTTTCAGAGCCTGCATGGAAACACCCTGCGGTCTGAACACGCATGTCGTCTTCATGAAGCCCTGACCTCCTGTCTTCCCACGAAATGGGGGAGGACACCTGGCATCTTCCTTCGGCCCCATGCACAATTTCACTGAGGGGCTGTCGACATCGGCTCTAGGCTCCCAGTCTCCATGACCCATGATCTCTGACCAAAGCAGAGACCTGACCGCCCAAGGTCACCTTGCAGAGCATCTGTGTGAATGCCATGTACCCTGAGACTGTAGCTACTACTACAGTTAAGGGGTCCTTGTCACAAGGACCACCTCCACCCTAACCAGAAAATGTTCCCAGAGAACTGCACAGTAAGGTGAACTTGGCACTAGGGCAGATACGGCTCACCGCACCCTCGAATAGGAAAAGAATTCAAGGCATGCGTCTCTTCCTGCCAGTCAGTCCAATCATTGGGCGGCCTCTGACAGAAAGTGAGGATGGGACCTGGACTGCCTCAGGTACCAGGATCCAAGGGTCACTCCCACAGAAACGGGACCCCTGTCCTGGCCAGATCATCCTCAGATCCACACCCTGTAGGGACCGGGCTACTGACGACACCCTAGAGAAAGCTCCCATAATGCAGGCCGTGGTCCAGATTGAACTCCTCCTGCCGCAAGGGTTACTCACCCAAATCTGAAGCCTCCAAGGCCTCAGCACACTCAGGCACAATCAGCAAGCAGGAAGATCCAGAGGATGAAGGTGGGCAGACTGACCCAGTGCACACAGATCACTAAGGACGCTTTAATGAAGACATCAGAACACCTGCCAGGGGAAGACCTTGGATGCCACAGGTCTCTGCCACAGTGCCATGGGAGCTGCTGGCTCCGATAACAAGGCAGCGTGGGTATGCCAGCCAATGACCAATCTCTACCAGAACCACGGGCCTCCAAGTTTGATGCTTCATTGCGAGGTGAGACGAACACATTGGTGCTATCAGGGCCGGCTGACTGGCCCCAACCTTAGGGAACAAATCTAATTCCAGGCCCATGCTCAAATGGAGGCCAAGAGGCATGTGCGCACACCACATAACAACCCACAGGCCTGGCTGCTTGGCCTCTGTTACTGCAACTCTTCAAGGCACCAAAGATACCCTTGGACAGTCCTTCTACTGGCAGCAGGCCACCAAGGACACAAAGGTCACCTATCACCGAGCCTCCCAAGCACCAGCAATGCCCTCTCCTCTGTACCTAGCTGAGGGCAGCTTCCAAAGGACCAGAGTATGTATCAGTGAAAACAGAACAACAGTGCCTGCAGCCTCAGCAGACATGACATCCCAGGAAATCACACTGCACTTTTCCTCACCTGCACAACCATTCTTCTCTGGGCCTCTGGCCAACCTACAGGAGAAATGCAGGCCTGGGACCACAACACAGTCCATGGCGACCTCCAAGACTCAAGCATGGGACAGGAGTTGCAATTCAGGAACTACCAAGGGCAGAAATGAGGCCTATTAACTTTCACAACTTCCACCGTTCCCCTAGGTCTCTGCAGCCGCTGCAGCCCACAGGGTACTCACAACCTCACCAACCCAAAGGGCCGCAATGGCGAGGGCCTCAGATCTGACCTGCGGCTCCAATCAGAGACCACAGAAGCTTCCTTGTGTCACAATCGACATCACGAGACCCCCAGTTAGCACACTTTCAGCAGGAACCAGGACAAAATGCACCGTTCTGAGCGAAGAGCTCACTGTCCAATGCCAGGATCTACTTCGACACCCACCACCACTGGACAAGCCGGATGCCTCTTCTGCTCCTCAGTGCCCTTCACCATGGACCTCGCGTTCCAAGAGCTGCTCGAACATCTGTACACGGCCCACCCTCTGATGGGAGCCTTCCAAGTGGTGTTGACATGGCTCCTCCATGCATGTGTGTCACACAGTCAGAGAAGCCCTCTTGCTAAACAGTCCCACCCTTAACCCAAAGGGAGGCAACGTGCTGGACCTCAGTTTCGATGAGGAGACGGTAGTGAGTTCTCACTCATTTTGTTCAGATTTTCCAAGGAATGCATGAGAGGGTGTCGTCATCGATCCGAGCACGAGCTGGCTCGCTCCCCACCTTCACAGGGCAGGCAGTGCCACTCTCAGGAAGAGCCAGTGACCTGGGAGTCCTCCAGCAGCCGGGGAACTCAGAGCCCCCAGGCTTGTCAACAAGAGGAATGGTCCCTCCGCACGGACAGCCACTCAGGCAGCAGCGCCAGGAAGCCTGAAATTCACGACACGTCTTGGGGCAGGAGAAGACGTACCGTGCTCGGTGATCCAAAAAGAACTGGCAGCAACCTGGGGCACCACACTTCTTGCCGGACTGCCTTGCACCTCGAGCCCCTGCCTCATGGGCGGGGCTTCGTATCCTGGGTGATGGACAGCCATACCTGGCAACTTCACCTGACAAGGGGACAGAAAGCACAGGAACACTTGAGATGTGCGCTTGGTCTCTCACTGAATAACACCGAGGAAAATGTTTCACTGGGGGAAGGCCTGTATCTGAACCCAACTACATCCAACCCTTACAGACAGTTACCTACCTTTCAAAAGAGTGCAGCAAATCAGGCTCAGGTGCATGTGGGTGACTTTCTGACTCAGCATGCATGGGTGGTAGGGGATTCTATTTGGGCTTGAGTGCCAACAAGAATGTACCAACAAGAATGCACTCTCGGCAATTTGGGTGTGTGTCTAGAAATACGTCCGGGTATCCAAGTTTCAGAGCCTGCATGGAAACACCCTGCGGTCTGAACACGCATGTCGTCTTCATGGAGCCCTGACCTCCTGTCTTCCCACGAAATGGGGGAGGACACCTGGCATCTTCCTTCGGCCCCATGCAAAATTTCACTGAGGGGCTGTCGACATCGGCTCTAGGCTCCCAGTCTCCATGACCCATGATCTCTGACCAAAGCAGAGACCTGACCGCCCAAGGTCACCTTGCAGAGCATCTGTGTGAATGCCACGTACCCTGAGACTGTAGCTACTACTACAGCTAAGGGGTCCTTGTCACAAGGACCACCTCTACCCTAACCAGAAAATGTTCCCAGAGAACTGCACAGTAAGGTGAACTTGGCACTAGGGCAGATACGGCTCACCGCACCCTCGAATAGGAAAAGAATTCAAGGCATGCGTCTCTTCCTGCCAGTCAGTCCAATCATTGGGCGGCCTCTGACAGAAAATGAGGATGGGACCTGGACTGTCTCAGGTACCAGGATCCAAGGGTCACTCCCACAGAAACGGGACCCCTGTCCTGGCCAGATCATCCTCAGATCCACACCCTGTAGGGACCGGGCTACTGACGACTCCCTAGAGAAAGCTCCCATAATGCAGGCCGTGGTCCAGATTGAACTCCTCCTGCCGCAAGGGTTACTCACCCAAATCTGAAGCCTCCAAGGCCTCAGCACACTCAGGCACAATCAGCAAGCAGGAAGATCCAGAGGATGAAGGTGGGCAGACTGACCCAGTGCACACAGATCACTAAGGACGCTTTAATGAAGACATCAGAACACCTGCCAGGGGAAGACCTTGGATGCCACAGGTCTCTGCCACAGTGCCATGGGAGCTGCTGGCTCCGATAACAAGGCAGCGTGGGTATGCCAGCCAATGACCAATCTCTACCAGAACCACGGGCCTCCACGTTTGATGCTTCATTGCGAGGGGGGACGAACACATTGGTGCTATCAGGGCCGGCTGACTGGCCCCAACCTTAGGGAACAAAGCTAATTCCAGGCCCACGCTCAAATGGAGGGCAAGAGGCATGTGCGCACACCACATAACAACCCACAGGCCTGGCTGCTTGGCCTCTGTTACTGCAACTCTTCAAGGCACCAAAGATACCCTTGGACAGTCCTTCTACTGGCAGCAGGCCACCTAGGACACAAAGGTCACCTATCACCGAGCCTCCCAAGCACCAGCAATGCCCTCTCCTCTCTACCCAGCTGAGGGCAGCTTCCAAAGGACCACAGTATGTATCAGTGAAAACAGAACGACAGTGCCTGCAGCCTCAGCAGACATGACATCCCAGGAAATCACACTGCACTTTTCCTCACCTGCACAACCATTCTTCTCTGGGCCTCTGGCCAACCTACAGGAGAAATGCAGGCCTGTGACCACAACAGAGTCCATGGCGACATCCAAGACTCAAGCATGGGACAGGAGTTGCAATTCGGGAACTACCAGGGCAGAAATGAGGCCTATTAACTTTCACAACTTCCACCGTTCCCCTAGGTCTCTGCAGCCGCTGCAGCCCACAGGGTACTCAGCAACCTCACCAACCCAAAGGGCCGCAATGGCGAGGGCCTCAGATCTGACCTGCGGCTCCAATCAGAGACCACAGAAGCTTCCTTGTGTCACAATCGACATCACGAGACCCCCAGTTACCACACTTTCAGCAGGAACCAGGACAAAATGCACCGTTCTGAGCGAAGAGCTCACTGTCCAATGCCAGGATCTACTTCGACACCCACCACCACTGGACAAGCCGGATGCCTCTTCTGCTCCTCAGTGCCCTTCACCATGGACCTCGCGTTCCAAGAGCTGCTCGAACATCTGTACACGGCCCACCCTCAGATGGGAGCCTTCCAAGTGGTGTTGACATGGCTCCTCCATGCATGTGTGTCACACAGTCAGAGAAGCCCTCTTGCTAAACAGTCCCACCCTTAACCCAAAGGGAGGCAACGTGCTGGACCTCAGTTTCGATGAGGAGACGGTAGTGAGTTCTCACTCATTTTGTTCAGATTTTCCAAGGAATGCATGAGAGGGTGTCGTCATCGATCCGAGCACGAGCTGGCTCGCTCCCCACCTTCACACGGCAGGCAGTGCCGCTCTCAGGAAGAGCCAGTGACCTGGGAGTCCTCCAGCAGCCGGGGAACTCAGAGCCCCCAGGCTTGTCAACAAGAGGAATGGTCCCTCCACACGGACAGCCACTCAGGCAGCAGCGCCAGGAAGCCTGAAATTCATGACACGTCTTGGGGCAGGAGAAGCCGTACCGTGCTTGGTGATCTAAAAAGAACTGGCAGCAACCTGGGGCACCACACTTCTTGCCGGACTGCCTTGCACCTCGAGACCCTGCCTCATGGGCGGGGCTTCGTATCCTGGGTGATGGACAGCCATACCTGGCAACTTCACCTGACAAGGGGACAGAAAGCACAGGAACACTTGAGATGTGCGCTTGGTCTCTCACTGAATAACACCGAGGAAAATGTTTCACTGGGGGAAGGCCTGTATCTGAACCCAACTACATCCAACCCTTACAGACAGTTACCTACCTTTCAAAAGAGTGCAGCAAATCAGGCTCAGGTGCATGTGGGTGACTTTCTGACTCAGCATGCATGGGTGGTAGGGGATTCTATTTGGGCTTGAGTGCCAACAAGAATGTACCAACAAGAATGCACTCTCGGCAATTTGGGTGTGTGTCTAGAAATACGTCCGGGTATCCAAGTTTCAGAGCCTGCATGGAAACACCCTGCGGTCTGAACACGCATGTCGTCTTCATGAAGCCCTGACCTCCTGTCTTCCCACGAAATGGGGGAGGACACCTGGCATCTTCCTTCGGCCCCATGCAAAATTTCACTGAGGGGCTGTCGACATCGGCTCTAGGCTCCCAGTCTCCATGACCCATGATCTCTGACCAAAGCAGAGACCTGACCGCCCAAGGTCACCTTGCAGAGCATCTGTGTGAATGCCACGTACCCTGAGACTGTAGCTACTACTACAGCTAAGGGGTCCTTGTCACAAGGACCACCTCCACCCTAACCAGAAAATGTTCCCAGAGAACTGCACAGTAAGGTGAACTTGGCACTAGGGCAGATACGGCTCACCACACCCTCGAATAGGAAAAGAATTCAAGGCATGCGTCTCTTCCTGCCAGTCAGTCCAATCATTGGGCGGCCTCTGACAGAAAGTGAGGATGGGACCTGGACTGCCTCAGGTACCAGGATCCAAGGGTCACTCCCACAGAAACGGGACCCCTGTCCTGGCCAGATCATCCTCAGATCCACACCCTGTAGGGACCGGGCTACTGACGACACCCTAGAGAAAGCTCCCATAATGCAGGCCGTGGTCCAGATTGAACTCCTCCTGCCGCAAGGGTTACTCACCCAAATCTGAAGCCTCCAAGGCCTCAGCACACTCAGGCACAATCAGCAAGCAGGAAGATCCAGAGGATGAAGGTGGGCAGACTGACCCAGTGCACACAGATCACTAAGGACGCTTTAATGAAGACATCAGAACACCTGCCAGGGGAAGACCTTGGATGCCACAGGTCTCTGCCACAGTGCCATGGGAGCTGCTGACTCCGATAACAAGGCAGCGTGGGTATGCCAGCCAATGACCAATCTCTACCAGAACCACGGGCTCCAAGTTTGATGCTTCATTGCGAGGGGGGACGAACACATTGGTGCTATCAGGGCCGGCTGACTGGCCCCAACCTTAGGGAACAAAGCTAATTCCAGGCCCGCGGTCAATTGGAGGCCAAGA